TATGTATGTATGTGTGTGTATGTATGTGCGGATACAAATTTTCGTCGACGATTTCGAGAACACCGATTAACCGATTTGAATAATTCAAAGAACATTCGATTCGTATTGATAAGGAGACGTGCTGATTAGTTTTTGGCGAAGGCAGGTCTAGCCGTTCCGAAGATACGGGGCAAAAAGTGTGCCAAAAACGGTAACTCAGTTTTTAAGAAAACGGAGCGTCCGATTTTAATAATTCAAAAAACATTTTACTTGTATTGACAAGGTGAAGTACCGATCAAATTTTCATCGAGGCAGGTCTAGCGGTTTCGGATATCTAATGAAAAAAGTAAAAAAAAATGCCATTTGGCGGTCAAAAATGATCATTAGACATATGCACATCAAATTATCAGATATTTTATAGAGATTTTAACAATAGGTATAATTTTTTTTTTACTTTTCTATGGGTTCCGTACCAATGCTTATGCGTTAGACAGCGGCGCGGCGCTTACGCACTTTGATAGTTTGTCTTTATGAAGTTAAAGCAGTACGATTGCTTTGAAAAAAGTTTAGATCTTCCAAAATATGTCAAAATAAAGGAAAAAAAATTTTTTCAAAAAAAAATTTAAAAAAAAAAAATTATTTTTTTTTTTCAAAAAAAAGTAATTTTTTGTCCAATTTATAGTTTCTCAAAAATCTTATTTTTTCGAAGTAAAATTTTTTTCAAAAATGTTAATTGTTTTTAAAAAAATATTAATTTTTGGTACGGGAAGTTCCCGCAATTTGCCTTAAGGCGCGATGCTTTAATTGCCTTAAGACAGAATTTCACTTACAGCTAGTTATTACTTTTGTTCATTTGATAGAACCGTAATCATGAATAACATTTCTAGGACCACAGTCAAAAATAATAACACAATTGCTCTAAGATTTCAAGAAATAAGACTTCTTGGTTATTTAATTTAATTAAGTAGTAATTTAAAATTTTCATTTTATTTTCAACAAATATTCTAAGTGTTTTGATTTTTGGTTAAAATGTTATTGTTATGATATTTTATTAGTCATGAAAACTCTTCATGCTATTGTTTTCTAAACATATATTTATTTCTAATGAGATAGGTTTATAGAATTGTAGCAAATTACATTTTAAGTATTTAATATAATAATAATCATGTATTTTTATTACAGGGTCTTATGGTCATTGGCTTTGATGTATGCCATGACTCCTCCAATAAAGCCCTTTCATATGGCGCTTTGGTGGCATCTGTAGATAGATGCTTAACACGATACTTTTCAGCTGTGAGTCATCATGCTCGTGGGGAAGAATTGGCTAATGATCTTGTAGTCAATATATCTAGTAAGATATTTTTTATTTATTATTTTTAATAATATTTTTACTGGGTGTAAAAAGCTAAATGATGGTGGTTTAATTATTATTATAATTAATTATAATATAATTTTATTATTATAATTAATTATTATATAATAATAAATAATTTATAATTTATTATGATATAATTATAAATAATTTATAATTCAATATAATACAATTATAATTTAATAATAAATTTTAGTAACTACATACAATTATCTTATTTTGCAGAAGCTCTTCTTAAATATAAACAAGCCAATGGTGGAATGTTGCCTCAAAGAATTGTATTCTATCGTGATGGTGTAGGCGATGGACAAATTCCTTATGTTCATAATCAAGAAGTGAGGCTGGTACTTAATCTTCTTGAGGAACAATATGGGAATTTACCAGTACGACTAGCATACATAATTGTGAGCAAGCGTATCAATACCAGAATTTTCTCAGTTGACAGAAAAAATCCAGTACCTGGAACAGTCGTTGATGATGTTATCACACTGCCAGAGAGGTAAATATCAGTTGCAATTTTTAACTTTCTGCAGGGCAAGTTAAGTAATCGCAAAAAAATCGAAAATGAACATTTTTATATATCTTTACGTTTCTAAGGTTTTTGAACATTTTGGCAAACCTTAGAAAAAATGGATGGATGTGTGTGTGTGTGTGGATACAAATTTTCGTTGACGATTTCGGGAACATGGACCATCTGATTTGAATAATTAAAAAAACATTCGATTCGTATTGATAAAGAGACGTGCTGATTAGTTTTTTGGCGAAGGAAGGTTTAGCTGTTCCCAAGATATGGGGCAAAAGTACCAAAAACGGTAACTCAGTTTTTAAGAGAACGGAGCGCCCGATTTTAATAATTCAAAAAACATTTTACTTGTATTGACAAAATAAAAAACTGATCAACTTTTTGGGAAGGCAGGTCTAACGGTCATGGACTCTCAATAAAAATAAGTTAAAAAAATGCGTTTTGGCGGTCAAAAATGATCATTAGACACATGCACATCAAATTGTCAGATATTTTATAGAGATTTTCATAATGTGTACAGATTTTGTGTATATTTTATTGGGTTACGTACCAAGATTTTTAATTTTGAATTTTATTTATATGGTTTAAACAAATGAGAACGGGGCGTCCGATTTTAATAATTTAAAAACATTTTACTTCTATTGACAAGATGAAAAACTGATTAAATTTTTGGGAGGCAGGTCTAGCGGCTATGGGCTCTCATTTGGATTTGATGCCATGCACTCCAATAGTTCTTTTTATTGATGTTAATAGCAATGTATAATAAGATTCAAATAGAGCTAAAACTGTTCAGAAATCTACACTGAGTAATTTTCTAATTAAGGCTAACTTTTTTTGTCTTATTATTGCTGGTACATTGAAAACTGGTCTTAGTAACTCATTTGGACGATCTTCAATTTTCTATAAGGGTATCGCTCTGGTTATTAATTACTTCATCCACGTAAGGTATTTTTAAGACATTATGTAGAAACACTTGTTTTGCTTTTATATATTAATTTTTTCTGTAATCTGTTTTTCTTTATAAATAATAAGAAAAGACTGCTAACAATAAATATTTTACAATATTAACTAAAATAACGACTTGTGGTTGCCATGTAAAGTTTTCAGATAAGTTTGTGAATTGATGCAAGTAATTTGAGAACATTTAGATTTTATTACCATTTAGAGTTTAAGCCATTTTTTCATGAAGAAGGGAATAATGAATCACCGTTAGAAATGTAATAGAATAGAATAGATATAAAAATAGAGTATAATATGATTTTGTGGCACGTTACAAAACCTTTTGCTATTTTATAATGACATGCATGAATACCACTGATATATTTATTTAATTAAAATAAGTACTTATTAAAAAAAATCTTATTATAAACAATTATTTTAATGATGTATAAAATGACATAACTACATATTTATTAAAAACACAATTATAAATCTTGGTTCTTGTAAATTGAAATCAATATTATCATAATCATGACAAAAAAAATCATTTCAATAATAATGGCAACCTCATTATTTTCAGGTACGATTTCTTCCTAGTCAGTCAAACAGTACGCCAAGGTACTGTTTCTCCAACATCTTACAATGTCATTTATGACACACTAGGGCTTGATCCCGATAAGATCCAAAGACTTTCATACAAGCTCACCCATATGTACTATAATTGGTCAGGTACTTGCCGTGTGCCAGCGCCCTGCCAATATGCACATAAATTAGCTTACTTGGTTGGACAAAGCTTGCACAGGGCACCAAATAGTAAATTGGATGACTCTTTGTACTTTTTATAATTATTTTCTATTAATGTTAATCAATATCAATGAAATATTGCTTTAATTAAGTTATTGCATGTGAATTAGTAGAATGTGTTTGATTCGCATGTTTAATGTGATTTTCTATTCATAGACTTAATAGCAATGTAATTGTAAACCTTTGTTCACTGTGATATTATTACATTATAACTTATAAAGTTTTTGTAGTTTATAAAATAATAATAATAAAAGCATGTATGTTAATACACTAGCATTAATCTTGACTATTTATTTTTAATATCTATACATCATTTTATTTAAATAAATCTTTTATATTAACATTCATATCTTCAGACTTTGATTCTGATTTTGCAACAGTCTCTAATGGCCTGGTTGTGGCTTCTTTTCTGGAAACCACCTCGGACTCTAACAAATCTAAAGCCGTGTTAAATAGTTGGTCATCATCAAGAGTTTTATTGTCGCTCTTTAATTGATTGAATATCACTATAAACTTTTGTGTAGTTGTTTTATGTGAACTATCTGATAAATTGTAGCCAGGTAATTGTTTATTGCCTTTATGGAATTTCCTAAATCAGAGCCAAATAAAATTTAAAATAATTATAATGTACTGATTGAAATATGTATTTACTTACGCTCTGATTACATCTTCTTCATAGAATATATTACGGATTGGAAGATTTGGAACTGGACGTGCATATTTAGGTTCAAGTGCAGGTGGAAAGGCTTTATAAATATCGTACCATAGCGGGCGTTCTTTCCATTTCATGCCATTAGCTTTGATTAAACCGTCAACTCTAAAATTCAATTATTTCACGATCGAAACATAATTGATGGATATTTTAATTTATTATTTATGGGTGTTACCTGCTAAATATAGTTCCAATTTTTTCTAGTCTACTACTAGCCATGATTGTTTATTTTTTCATTGACTTCATAGATGAGCCAAACTTATGATGCAAGTTAAATTGACAACCACTCCGTTTTATAGGTTATATTTATATAACCTTAAATCTGAGACTGAGGTGAGGAATTATTTAATGCAAAATTTAGAAGTCATATATTCTATTCTGGTGAAATTATTAATTTTGAATAAAAATGAAGTGTAAACGTTTATTTTTATTCTGAATTCAATAATGCATTCATCAATTGCTATTTATTTACTTCTAAAAACTGTATTTCATGTTACATTGTGGTTATTTTCAGTTTGTGTTAATATTGGTGAACTGATTTTCAATGCACCATTAATTGTAATCTCAATTAATGTCAAGGTTCAACTGAGTTCAATTCCCATATGAATAAATTTTGTATTATCATATCGGTTTAAATTTTACTGCCAATGACTCAAAAAATGTGTGGTGTGGATTACACAGTTGCTAATTAATAAAGTGAATGAAAATAAAAAAAGTTATGAATATGTTTGTTGACACTGCGAACGGAACCGTGCAAGGGCAATTAACTGTTAGCTGCACCGGTGTTGATTATTATAGTTTCAAAGGAATAAGATATGCAGAAACTCCTGTTGGAAGTTTGCGGTTTCAGGTAATTATGGAATTTTGCATATATATTACACATATCCCCCGCTTAGCACGGTATAAAAAATGAAAAATACATTCTTTCAATTTTCAATATAATGAATAACAAATACATTGAACGAACTAGTGGCGCATGGCATTGTGCCTTATACCGAAAATTTAAATCTTAAAAAAGATTGAAAATGATTTTCAAACTTTGAAAAAATTAAATTTTAGAGAATTTTGAAATTTTTAAAAGCATTTGACTTTCTGGAATTTTCTATTATCTTTTGAAATATTCTGGAAATTTTGAACTTAGCGCGCGTCGGATCTAAAGGTGCCTTCACCCATCCTTCACCGTCATTATGGCCCGCACCATTGCACGAATCTGTACGGCGAATCGGCGAATCTGTTCGCAATGTGCGCAGACTAAATTATTGCGAGCAAAAGCAAACCTCGCGCATGTCAAAAACAGGATTCACCGTGCGCGTTCGTGCAGTGGAGCGGGCTATAGGTGCGTCCACACCTAACGAACGAACACGAACGAACATAAAAAAACGTACCAGAACGAACGGCAACAGCATAGTGTGGACGCCACGACGATCACGAACGAACATAAACAAACATGGCGAACAATGTTCCGCAACTTGTCGGTACATCAAAGGGAATTGTTCGTTCATGTTTGAACTCGTATGTGCAGTGTGGACGTCTCAACGAACGCAAACGAACATTTTTGTTTTAATAATTTTAATAATTTAATAATAATTTTTTTAAATTTAATAATAATGTTATTAATTTTAATGTTTGAAAATTTTAATAATATTTACTTTTAATTATTGTGTACAGTTTGAAAATTTGAATAAATTATGGAATGGTCAAATGACGTAATTTCATCATTCATAAATGAAATAGAAAAGTTTCCTATAATATGGGAGACTAAAGACCCTTTTTATAAAATTATTAGAAAAAAAAACGATGCTTGGGAAAGTGTAGGCAAAACGTTTGGGATGTCAGAAGCTGCAGTAAAGAAGAAATTGCAGTCATAGATAAAAGAAGAGTATGATTGCAGTCTTTACAAGTAAATATCAAACTTGTTATCATACATAGACATTCAACATATATGTTGAGGATGAGAGTATGAAAATTGAGTATAGTTAGCTCAAGCCTGGAATGTTCAGCTTGCTCCAAATATGAATGCTGAGAAAAGAAAACGACTCAAAATATAAATATTAAATACAAAAACTGAGTGAAATTAATTGAATAATTTATTTACAGTATATTTACAAAATATACACGAACAAAAATCACACAAAAACCAGTGAAAATGTCGTATGATTAAAGCTTACATCCATATCAATAATAAAACTGACGTTTCACGGAACATCTGCGAACAACGAAAATTCAAGCGCTCACTGCTTTTAAGCGCTTGTTCAAGTTCGTTTGGAATTTTTTGCGTTCGTTTGTGTTCCTGTTCGTTCTTCTTTGTATTTTCTTGTTCGACATGTTCGTTCGTGTTCGTTCGTTAGGTGTGGACGCACCTTATAACGAACGAGCACGAACGAACATGACGAACAAGAAAATACAAAGAAAAACGAACACGAACACGAACGAAAGGTGCATCCACACCTAACGAACGAACACGAACGAACATTAACGAACGTGCCAGAACGAACGGCAACAGCATAGTGTGGACGCCACGACGTCACGAACGAACATAAACAAACATGGCGAGCAATGTTCCGCAACTTGTCGGTACATCAAAGGGAATTGTTCGTTCGTGTTGGTACTCGTATTTGCAGTGTGGACGTCTCAACGAACGCAAACGAACATTTTTGTTTTAATAATTTTAATAATTTAATAATATTTTTTTTCCTATAATATGGGAGACTAAAGACCCTTTTTATAAAATTATTAGAAAAATAAAACGATGCTTGGGAAAGTGTAGGCAGAACGTTTGGGATGTCAGAAGCTGCAGTAAAGAAGAAATTGCAGTCTTTACAAGTAAATATTAAACTTGTTATCATACATAGACATTCAACATATATGTTGAGGATGAGAGTTTGAAAATTGAGTATAGTTAGGCTCAAGCCTGGAATGTTCAGCTTGCTCCGAATATGAATGCTGAGGAAAGAAAACGACTCAAAATATAAATATTAAATACAAAAACTGAGTGAAATTAATTGAATAATTTATTTACGGTATATTTACAAAATATACACGAATAAAAATCACACAAAAACAAGTGAAAATGCCGTATGATTAAAGCTTACATCCATATCAATAATAAAACTGACGTTTCACGGAACGTCTACGAACAACGAAAATTCAAGCGCTCACTGCTCTTAAGGGGGGCGATACATGTAACTAGAAAAAAAAAATCGATTTTTTTTTCTTTCATAAATCGTTACAATAACATCTCAAAAATATGCCTGTAAATATTCAAAACAAAATTATCATTATTTATACAAAAAAAACTCATTTAAGTGCCACGCCTCAACTCGACGCTTGAGTGCTATTGTACTCTTATCTGTTTCTGTGTCAAAACTTTAAACGCGTTTTTCTCAAAACGACATTTTTGAAATTTGCGGGCGGGATAACTCAAAAAGTTCTTAACCGATTCCAATGAAATTTTGCACACATCTACTTTACAGTAATAGCTTCTAGTTAAACCTCAAACATTCCAAAAAAATTTTCAAAAATTAACCCTTTTACCAAAAAAAACCATTGAAAAAAAGGTGAAAAATCGAACTTTTTTTTCTGAGGTGTGCCAATTTACGATTTTGTGACTTTTTTAATTTTTTTTTGGTTTAACTAGAAGATATGTTTTATGAACACGTACAAACTAATTTTTTTGATTTCAAATCACCGTACGAAAAGTGAGAACGCCCGCAAATTGATGGCGTTTTCCGAAAGGGTCTTGGCAGATTTATTTTTACGGCAGCCATTTAAAAAAAAAAATTAAATAAAAATTTTTTTTGTGTATTTTAATATATAATAAATAACCCTAAAAAAGTTCAAAAAGATTCAGTCATTCCTTCCTAGTTTAAAAAGTCCTCAAAAAATGGTTAAAATTAAGGCGATTACATGTATCGCCCCCCTTAAGCGCTTGTTTAAGTTCGTTTGGAATTTTTCGCGTTCGTTCGTGTTCCTGTTCGTTCTTCTTTGTATTTTCTTGTTCGACATGTTCGTTCGTGTTCGTTCGTTAGGTGTGGACGCACCTGAAGACGAATCATTCCAAACGAACTCGAGCTTTAAAGCAGTGAGGGCTTGAATCTTCTTTGTTCGAGAATGTTCCGTGAAACATCAGTTTTATTAGTTAAAGTGGACGGAAAGGGAAAAATTATTTCAAGTGATCAAATTTACAAAATTTATCAACAATAGCAATATCACATAATAAGGTGCGCGTCCACACCTAACGAACGAACACAAATGAACGTACCAGAACGAACCACATACGAATACAAACATGAACGAACAATTTTCTTTGATATACCGACAAGTTGAAAACCTTGAGGTGCGTCCACACCTAACGAACAAACACGAACGAACATGTCGAACAAGAAAATACAAAGAAGAACGAACAGGAACACGAACGAACGCGAAAAATTCCAAACAAACGCCTCAAAGCAGTGAGGGCTTGAATCTTTTTGTTCGAGGATGTACCGTGAAATGTCAGATTTTTTATTTAAAGTGGCGGGAAAGAGCAAAATTATTTAAAGTCATCATATTTACAAAATTTGTCAATAACAGCAATATCTTGTAATAAACACAACATAAACTAATGCAGGACTGCACATTTTAACATCAAAAAAGAAAAATGTTTTTCTACATTCGTGGTAGCGTCCACACTGCACATACGAGTTCAAACATGAACGAACAATTCCCTTTGATGTACCGACAAGTTGCGGAACATTGCTCGCCATGTTTGTTTATGTTCGTTCGTGATCGTTGTGGCGTCCACACTATGCTGTTGCCGTTCGTTCTGGTACGTTCTTTTCGTTAGGTGTTCGTTCGTTAGGTGTGGACGCACCTATAGCAATATCACATAATAAGGTGCGCCAGGTTAGGGCGCACCTTAACGGATAAACATTGGTACAGAACCCAAAGAAATGTAAATAAAATTAGTTCCTATTATTAAAATTTTCATAAAATAACTGATAATTTAATGTGCATATGTAAATATCATTGACCGCCAAATGAATTTTGTTTTACTTTTTTTTTTACTTATTAGATCTCCGAGACCGCTATGCCCATCTTCTCAAAAATTTTAACGGTTTTTCATTTTGTCAATACAAATAAAATATTTTTCGAATCATTCAAATCGGACGCTCCGTTATCTCAAAAACTGTATTACCATTTTTAGCACTTTTTGTCCCGTATCTTCAAAACGGCTGGAGCTGCCCCTGCCAAAACTAATCAGCACTTCTCGTCGTCAATGCGAATCGAATGTTTTTTGAATGATTCAAATCGGTTGATCAGTGTTCACGAAATAGTCGACGAAAATTTGTATCCAAACACACACACACACACAAATACATTCATTATTTAAAGGTATGCCAAAATGTAAAGATATATAAAAATTTTCATTTTCAACTTTTTTGCGATTACTAACTTACCCTACGAGAAGGCAAAAATAAATATCAATGTATATATATTATGAAACATGTGCACTTTTAATAAATTTATTTCAATAAAAAATAATACTGTTATTCGATCACCTTAAATAAATTTACGCAATCATTTATATAAATACTAATTAGAAACAAAGTTTAAAAAGAGTACTGCTCTTTTTGGTACTTTAAACAAACTTTCTTATACGCACATAAAATTTAGTTTTGGTCATGAAACGGGGAGTCTACCTATTTCCATCATAGCGTAGACTATTATAAGCTAGTAAGAATTCGTATTTTGCAGTTAGTTTTTTTTATTCTCTGCTAAATGTAATTATTTTTAAAGATTGCAGAATGAAAATTTAAAAAAAATGACAATAAAACAATGAAAATGCTATTATAGATATAGTTAATAATTTAAGGTTTAAAATTTCACGTAATAATGCTAAATTAATACATTCCGTTAAAAAAATATGGATCATGCGATAATGCTAAATTAATACATTTCGTTAAAAATACATTTTCAAAAACCGTGTAAAGCGAATTATATAATATATATAATAATGTTTTTGAATTTTTCTTCTAGGATCCAGTCGAATTAGTATCCCCAACCAAAAATTTGCAATGTGTGCCTGCATTGCCATGCTCCCAACAGGAGACCTTAAGTAAACGTTATGTGGGCTCGGAAGATTGCCTAACTTTGAATATTTATACCAAAGAAGTACGTATACTTGTAAAACTTAAGTTTTAATAATTAATAACTTAAGTTTTAATAATTATAATTATATATTCGATAAACTGATTTTTGATCAGATAAAACCTTCCACGAGGCTGTGCCCGGTCATGGTTTACATATTTGGTGGAGGATTTATGCGAGGTACCAGCTCTTCAGATTTGTATGGACCTGATTATCTCGTAGCTAACAATGTAGTTGTAGTCACGTTTAATTACCGTTTGGGCGCTTTTGGTAAGTTATTTTTCCAAACATTTTTATTTTTCAAATGTAAATTTGAACTTGTGATATACGCCGGCCTTCAAAATGCTTAAGGGCAGGAATATCTGGTGTTTCTCGATTTTTAATCAGTTTTTTAACATTTAAAAAAAAAGTAAATTTTAAACATTGAACAGTTTTAAGATTTTCATTGGCATATTTATATAACTGTAAGTTAATCAATATTATAGAGTTAAGCAACATATATAAATATATGCATGTCGACTTGTGTATAGCAGCGCTCGCAAAGAATTAATTTAATTTCTAATAAGAAACTATAATTTGCTATTAGATATGATGGACAAAAATATGAACAAAGTGCAAAATTTTCATAACCCGATATTTATATTTCAATAATCCCAGTAAACACTACTTGTTGCCATATTGTAACATTTTATGTCACAAAGTTATATAACAAATGTTAACTAAATGTAATGTACGCGCAACGTATACCGGGAGTTACAAAGTTATTTACATTTGTTACCTAATGTAATAAATGTGCAATGTATTGTTAAAAAAAATCCACTAATTTAATATTTCAATTTTCGTTCTCAGAAGTGAGGATACATCAGTGAAAATAAATGATTTCTATTGTTATCATGATATTTTATTTGTTATAGGTTTCCTAAGCTTTTCAGATCCTGAGTTAAATGTGCCAGGAAATGCAGGAATGAAAGATCAAGTTCTGGTATTAAAATGGGTAAAGAAAAATATACATCACTTTGGTGGTGATTCTAATAATGTAACATTATTTGGCGAAAGTGCCGGCGCTTGCAGTGTGCATATGCATATGCTATCACCGATGTCTGAAGTTAATTATTTTAATTATTTAATATAATTGTATTTAAGATATTTCAATGGCAACCAGTTATATAAGACTTAATTTTATACACAACCAGTGTTACATTTTATACCTTATTTTAATTTTGTTTTTTAATATAGGTCTATTTCACAAAGCAATCGCTCAGAGCGGCTCAGCATTTAATCACCGATCAGTAAGCGATCCCAAACGTTCGCTGTTATTGGCAGAACGATTTGGCTGGACTCACGAATTGGGCCAAAAAGAGGCATTGAATATTTTATTAGAAGCTGATGCTAAACAGATTGTACAAAGACAAGAAACTCTTCTAACTCCACAGGTTTTGTAAATATTAATATAAAATCAGTTGTTTTTCAAAAATCATAAATATTAACTGACTAATTCCATATGATATATATATATATGTATATACAATAATATACATATATATGTACATATACATATATATATATATATATAATATATATATATACAGGGCCGGTCCTGGGGTCCTTAGCGCCAGCATGCAACTCTTTTTTTAGCGCCCTCCCCCTATTAATTTTAACTGTTTTAACAGTTTATTATTAAAATTATATAAGAATCACATATTTTTTTAAAAATTAATTTTTAATTATTCTGGATTTAGTACAAAAAAATTAGATATAATCTAAAAGCGTATAAAATACATTGATTTTAAATTTATTTAGAAAATCTAGGCTATTCGTGGGTTGATTATAATCAGATATTTTAAAATTTTAAATTATTTTTAAAGTATTGCATTTTTAATATTTGGGTTTTGAAACATTTTACTTATTTATTATGCTATTTATTCTATTGAGCAAATCATGCCAAGAAAACTAAAAAAAACTAGCTTTTCATTTTCGATCATAACATTCGTATTTCATGTTGGATTTTTTTTTAATTTTACATTAATTTAATCTTTCATTATTTACAATATCCAAAATTGCGTCGTAAACTTCTTCTTATTGATATCGTAAGAGCCGAATTGTATTCATCCTTGCTTTCCCGTCATATTCAGATCAATTGTTAACGTATTTTAGAAGTATTATCCAATAATCAGTAAAAAATGCAAAGAAATTACACATTTCTTGAACTATATTGAACAAAACTAATTATATTTGGTATGTATTATTTCTGCATAGTTAATAATTATTAAATTCAGAATATTGACACCACTAGGTATAAAAAAGCCTTAAGATTTTCGTTCCAAAGTAAATTTTGCTTTCATTTTTCATATTTGTTCCATTTCCATAACCCTAACCACGCATGTCTTTCAAAGTTCATCAGATGCGAAATATTTGCAACAAAAACAAAAGTTACAATTCAATTTCTCGGAATAAACATGCCATTTTTTAAGCACTGACTCCCCATTTTTCATTATCCCGATTATAATTTGTTTATATTTTTTAAAAAGTTCTGTTTCAACTAAATCAGCTCGCAATTTTTCGTCAATAATGCCCAATAATTAATTTCATATTTCGCAGGTTTACGCTTATGGGATTGAACACTAGATAATTTCTTTTTCGATTCCACGGTGACTTCAAACAAAGAAAAAATTGAATAAGTAAATTAAGCAATAAACAAAGCTGTCATTTACTAATTTGCAGAATTATTAATCAGTTAATTGTTTCTACTGATATCACATTGCAAAATAAATATGCTTTTTGTGTCTCCGTATCTCTAGTTAAGTTAGATTTGTTTATTATAATTTATTAAATATTCTAGATTTTATATGAATAATAAGAAATATAAATGATATATTATAAATTTAATACCCAAAACTGGTTTTGGCGCCCCCTAAGGCTTGCGCCCGCATTTTTTGCATGCATCGCATACAAGGCAGGACCGGCCCTGTATATATATTTATATATATATATATATATATATATATATATATATACATGTGCACCTATCTACTGCACAACTGACCGTTTGAGAAATGCATGCTTCTCATTAAATTAAAAGTAGAATAGCAATTTTTTTGTAATATTATATTTTACATAGTTAGATACCCTATAACTCAGAATATGAAAATACAAACTGTAATACACTTGATTTGTGTTTTTGAACACATTTCATTGGATATATTTTGCAACATTTGGAAAAAAAAGTCCACATGTCCTAATATTTTGCCCAAAGTTCATTCAATTCATTTAAAATAACATCATAATATTGTTGATTGATTTATATATAAAATAAGGTGTTTAACCTAAGATTATTGATGCATAGATATCAATATCACGCTCTCATTTAATATAATAATTATAGGAAAAACGCACATATGTGCTATTCCCTTTTGGACCAGTGGTTGAACCATACGAAAATGAACAGTGTTTTCTTCCAGCACATCCGTTAGAACTTGCTACCAAAAGAAAGAAAGGTTGGGGTTGGGGATTGGGCATGCCATTCATCACAGGAATTACATCACACGAGGCTCTTCTGTTATACAAAGGTAATGTAAAATTCCTTGATATAATATTGCATACTAGTATACTTTTTTTAACTTTTGTAGTTTTATATGTACGATTCCCAATGTTTTAGAGACTATGAACAATCCGACGATTCTTTCAAGTCTTGGAGACTTTACGTGTCTTTTGCCACAAGAACTTAACTTGAATGTTCAAGAGGCATTAACTAAGGAATTAGCTAACAATATTAAAAAACATTATTTCAGTAATTCTGAGCCGAATATTGAAAATATAGATATGTATATAAAGGTAAGTAAAAATTTGCCTATTATAAATATACATCATTATATAATACTATAGAGAGTTTTAATGTGGCAAGAGTTAAGACAATGGACAACATTTTAATAGCACAGCGCGCCTAGTATTATGAGCTCTCAATATTTGAATCAAATCAGTCCTTTATAAAATATAATCCACAACAAGTAACTAATTATTTACTAATTTACTTTTCTTTGGTATCTAAAAGCGCTGAGCGCACAACTCTGTATTTTAAGAATTTAGAATATAACGCATATATCATCTAGCATTATTTCATTTTACATTAGAACAAAAATTATGTTTGTAATTCTATCAATTTTCTCAGCTTCTCTCTGATAAATTATTTGTGCATGCTGCTATAAGGACAGCACGATCTCATGACGGGCCTGTGTATCTGTATAGATTTGCTGTTGACGCCAAAAATAATGTTTTTAAGGCTGTTATGTGCGGAAATGTTCCAGGTTAGTATTGAAAGTAACTTTTTATTTTTTCTGTTTTCTGAACTCCAATATTAAATTTGTTATAAAATTTATAGTTTCAAATCGTAATTTTAAAACCATATTTTAAACTAGTACAAAAAAAACAGTTAATTATGCATAGGCTTGACCAATGCATTCTTATTTCAATATTATTCGAAAGGTTTTTGAATTTTTGAAATCAGTTCAGGATTTTTTACGAAAATACTGACGAAAAAATGTTCGTTAATCTGATTATAACTCTATACGAGGCTTGCACCAAATATTCGGCCGAATACAGAATATAAACTAACTATTCGGCCGAATACTGAATAGTTAAAATCAAAGGCGACGCCGCCGCTCATTGTTGGTGTTTTATCTTTTAAGCGATAAAGAGTTCGCGATGGATCTGTCTTTGGAAGTGTTTAGTTTACATAATATGATATGAAGAAATGATTTTGTTATTGTATATATAATAATTTAAACTTTATCGACTTCTGAGATTACAAATGAATACGCAAAGAACTTTTTTCTGAATATTCACAAGTTACTTTATTTATTTATTATTTATTATTATTTAATTATTATTATTATTATTTTTATTTAATATGAATCATTTAATGGTTAAACACATGTATTGTATCAATACAGTAAAGTCATTCATTATACTCAATATAAGCATTTCCAAATAAAGAGCTATTATTGGCTTTCTAAAATATATAAATATTTTTGATCATTTTTTATATATTTTATTGCGATTAGCATTCCTAATATATAAAAAAAAAATATTGAGTTTATAAAGAAAAATATTAAATGTTTAAGAAATACATTTACATATATGTAAAGAATCGCTTTATTCATGATTTTACCATTTATTTTCCTTTTATTTCGGTATTCGGCCGAATAGTATAAATGATGACAATAATTCTAAATGACAAAGAGTAACCGTATAGTAGTTGCAAATTTAGGCAAAAACTTAAATAAACATGTAGCATTTTAGTAATATAACAACTACTGAATAGTAATTACATTCATACAGGCGCCAAAAACCTGCCGAATAGTTGCCGAATATTCGGTATTCGGTCTCTGGAGCATGCCGAATATTCGGTATTCGGCATTTTGCCGAATATACTATTCGTTGCAAGCCTGCTCAATACTAAACAGCTGTTTACTCTAGAGTACAAAATTAATTTTAAATTGATTGAGATATGATCGGGTTCAAGGCACTTTTTTATAATCAAAAGTTAAATTGAAAACCAACATCAATTCAGCTAGCGATTTCTTAAAAAGTACTGAATCATACAAGTGATGTTTGGAGGGGGGAGGTAATTTTTAAAATCACCACGTATAACCGAGAGGGAGGGGGGGTGTAAAAATCTTTAAAAAGCCTATCACGCCCCCTTGTGAGAAGTGTTCAAATAAAAAGCATTAATCAAAGTTTATAAAAATGAAATGTGCGCTAAACATATACGCGTATATATTTACATGTTTATTTTAAATAATTTATAGGTACATGCCATGCGGACGATGTACAATATTTGTTTAAACCAAAGCATGCTAAATGTTATGAAAGTGGTACAGTCGAACGGAATACTTCTGAATTTCTTGCTTCTGCTTGGACAACTTTTGCATTATTGGGTCGACCATATGACTCAGAATTGCAAACTGCACATTGGCCTCTGTACAGTGAAAACGAAGCTTATGTAGATATTACAAATAATTCAGTGGACATAAAATATATGTTACAAAAAGATGATATTAATTTTTGGGATGATTTATATTCACGATCGAATAAAATTACGTCACGTTAAGAAGAGCCTTAGTTATTATTGATTCAATATATTATCTTTTTACATCAATAGTTGTTTCAAATAAAAATTATCTAAATTTTAATTATCAAATCTGCCTTTTCAGCAATCAAAATCGAACTAGTTATTATGACAGACTTTGATTTAACCATTAAAATTCAGTTGAAATGCAGTTTATAATAGTAAATTAACAAGAAACAACTTTTGCAAATGTCAATTTTCCGAACATTGGACCATTATATGAATCGGATCCACATATAAAAAAAATTTAGTTGCTTCATAAAAGTGTAACGTGTGATGCAAAACTAGTGAAACAAGTATATAATGGCGACCACTGTAACTGAGAAAGCCAAGGATTTCCATGAACCAGGATTTTTACAGATGAAAGTAAAAAGGTATAGATAATTTTAACAAAAACAAAATTTCTGATTTATTTTTCAGTATATATAAATATAATAATATTTATAATATAAATAAAGCATGCAAAATTGAATGATTTGCACACATGCCTTCAGTTATTAAATAACATATATTAACAATTTAATCACTATGATTAGCTTAAAATATTTATAGTAAATATACAACAATGTAAGCAATTAAAATCAATCATCAATGCCATTTGAAGAAATTGGCTCTGATAAATACTTATCTCGTTCTGATCTCATAATTCCATTTTCATAACTCAAAATTTCATTTTCATCTTGTAATCTTTTTATTTCCTTTTTCAATTGCATTGTATCTGTAGTTATCGATCCACTATCAAGTTTATTCATAAGTTCTATATGTTGCGTGCAAAGTAACATGTGCAAACGTAACATGCTAGATTTGTGCATTTCTATCATTTGCATCATATGTTTTTTCATATCTTCAACCTCATTTTTTAAAACCAAATAATCAGCATTGTTTACTTCACAATTTAAATATTCTTTAGCTTCTTCTTTTTTCAGTTCTTCTGGAATTGGTGTAGATTTAAATATTTCATTTCTAGAAGCTGTTTCATAATTTATTGAAGGTAGTGGTGATAGATATTCATTAGAGTTAATATTGGACGATTTAAGGTTTCGGCATTCCTTTGGTGTCAAATTTTTTAACAACAAATCTGGTTCACTTACTTTGGGACTAGTTAGGTCATTCATAAAAGTATCAATTTCACATTTGGCTGGAGTTTGTAAAATGTTCGGAGATACATAAGTATTTTCTTTCATATCATCCAAAAGATTGAGAAAACTATCATCTTGTTGTTCATCAGATGTACTGACTTTTTCAATGCTTATATTGTCCGATGACAAATTTTGTTCTATGCTAGTTTCATGGCCTTTTTCTTTATTATTATCTCTTACAGCATGTTGAAATGCTACTGATGATACGACTCCAGTATGCTCTGATAAATTCAGTAAAGGTTCTTTATTATTCCGTAAATCATAAATCAATATTCCTCCTTTCCTATGACCACACATCATCATTATTCCATCACTTGACATGTCAACCGATGTTAAAGCATATGGTGACTCACGATTGCAAACAGATTGCTTGGTCCGTAAATCACACATACAAATTAAATGATCATAGCCAACAGAAACAAAAAAATTGGTATTAATGGGTGATAAAGCAATGCCAGATGCAATAGATGAATGATTTTTGGCAATAAATAAATGATTTTTACGCTTTACTACGTCCCAGATGGCTACAAAACCATGATCATTTGTTGCACCAAACATTCCATGTTCTCTACTACTATATTTTAGTGATGTTATAGGCCTAAAAATAAAAACAAATATTCAATATCAAATTAAATACGAGAAGAAATTAAAAATGATATATATTTGTGCTTGATATGATAGGATATGAAATAGCATATTATAAACGTATTAAATGTATATATACCAGCTTGTTGAGTTTATGGTTAGAGACTGCATCCTCTTGTTGGTTGTTAACCCATATAAATTAATATGACCATCTTCACAACCAACACTCATATAATTGTCATTGAATGAAATATCAATACAATTGACATTGGCGTGAGTTGAAACCATTGTTTTGCTGACCTCTTGCTTTTTTGTATCCCATATTTGCACATCGCCATTACCGAAGCCCATGCCTATAAATCTGTGAGTATTTTTGAAAAACACGGCAGATTTTACTCCATGAATTTTGATACTTTGTAAAACCTTGGCTTCTGAGAAATATGGTCTCACAATTTCACAACATCCTGTGGAAGGAACCACTAGCAAATATTTGGAGTCATAACTCCAATCAATAGAATGAACGGGTTCTGTGAAACTTCCATATTCACATAGAGGTTTATAATTGCTGGTATCATAAAATACTATATTATGGCCACCCGATGCCATTGTATCTCTGCTATCCTAGAGATTAATAGTATTATTAAAATAATGATAACATCTAAAGCAAATAACACTTTTTACCATGTTTAATTATAATTATTAACTATATCATAACAAGAGAAATTTACTTACAGTGAACACTTGTGCTCTTGCTCTTATATTGTTAGTGTGTGTATGAAGTTTTTGAATAATTTATATGGAAACAATAAAACTTGAATCAGCTGTGTTACATGTTACAATGATTCGATTACTCATATCTCTTAAAAATGCGCTCGTATTTCATTTATTGCAACAATAACAATTTGTATGTTTCATTCAATTTAAATGTCAAAAAACGCATTCTTTGATTGGACAAGTAGAAGACAAACCGTTATTTTCAAGGTTCGCATAGTAAGACAAAACAATGAAGAAAGGATACCGAAGAAGTTTCATTAATTTTTATTCGAGCACTAGCGCCACTACCTTACTAGGCCATTTTGAAAAAAAATCTATGGAAGTATCCATATATATACTCTTCTTTTATCTATGGAGGTATTTTTTATTTAACTTTTGTACAACGGAAGAACTGTCAAACCGGTGTCAAATGAACAAAATGCAGTATTTTGAATGTCTTCTGTGTATATAATATAATTTTAGAATATTTGGGCTAGAAAATATATAATAAGTTCGTATCTATGATAATATTGACTGGAACACTAATATAGAAATTTAGGTACAAATTGTAAGCTTACTATTAGTGTGCCATATAAATTCATTGCTCAAGAATGGCTGATGAAGAAGATCCAAAAGAATATCGGTGGGAGTCTGGATATGAAAAGACTTGGTAAGCATTTTATTGCTACTGCATATTCAATACAGATAAAGACTGGAGTTACATTTATATTTTTTTAAGGGAGGCAATTAAAGAAGATGATGATGGTTTGGTGGAAGGATCTATTGCAGACATCATACAGAAAGCAAAAAGGCAGCGACAGGCAGCACGAGTTGGCCATTCAAGATTGGGAATGATGAGACATTTATATATTATAATTGATTGTTCAGATTCAATGAATATACAGGATCTTAAACCAACAAGACTACTTTGCACATTAAAAGTATAGCTATTTTGATAGGTTTTGACTTACCAGGGAATCTTCAGGTTTACTTTTCTGGGTTTTATTATATTTAGCACATCCGTTTATATCCATCCATTTATATCCAGCACATCCGTTAGAACTTGCTACCAAAAGAAAGAAAGGTTGGGGTTGGGGATTGGGCATGCCATTCATCACAGGAATTACATCACACGAGGCTCTTCTGTTATACAAAGGTAATGTAAAATTCCTTGATATAATATTGCATACTAGTATACTTTTTTTTAACTTTTGTAGTTTTATATGTACGATTCCCAATGTTTTAGAGACTATGAACAATCCGACGATTTTTTCAAGTCTTGGAGACTTTACGTGTCTTTTGCCACAAGAACTTAACTTGAATGTTCAAGAGGCATTAACTAAGGAATTAGCCAACGATATTAAAAAAAATTATTTCAGTAATTCTGAGCCGAATATTGAAAATATAGATATGTATATAAAGGTAAGTAAAATTTGCCTATTATAAATATACATCATTATATAATATTATAGAGAGTTTTAATGTGGCAAGAGTTAAGACAATGGACAACATTTTAATAGCACAGCGCGCCTAGTATTATGAGCTCTCAATATTTGAATCAAATCAGTCCTTTATAAAATATAATCCACAACAAGTAACTAATTATAATATATATATATATATATATATATATATATATTATATTTACTTATTTACTTTTCTTTGGTATATAAAAGCGCTGAACGCACAACTCTGTATCTTAAGAATTTTGAATATAACGCATATATCATATAGCATTATTTCATTTTACATTATAACAAAAATTATGTTTGTAATTCTATCAATTTTCTCAGCTTCTCTCTGATAAATTATTTGTGCATGCTGCTATAAGGACAGCACGATCTCATGACGGGCCTGTGTATCTGTATAGATTTGCTGTTGACGCCAAAAATAATGTTTTTAAGGCTGTTATGTGCGGAAATGTTCCAGGTTAGTATTGAAAGTAACTTTTTATTTTTTCTGTTTTCTGAACTCCAATATTAAATTTGTTATAAAATTTATAGTTTCAAATCGTAATTTTAAAACCATATTTTAAACTAGTACAAAAAAAACAGTTAATTATGCATAGGCTTGACCAATGCATTCTTATTTCAATATTATTCGAAAGGTTTTTGAATTTTTGAAATCAGTTCAGGATTTTTACGAAAATACTGACGAAAAAATGTTCGTTAATCTGATTATAACTCTATACGAGGCTTGCACCAAATATTCGGCCGAATACAGAATATAAACTAACTATTCGGCCGAATACTGAATAGTTAAAATCAAAGGCGACGCCGCCGCTCATTGTTGGTGTTTTATCTTTTAAGCGATAAAGAGTTCGCGATGGATCTGTCTTTGGAAGTGTTTAGTTTACATAATATGATATGAAGAAATGATTTTGTTATTGTATATATAATAATTTAAACTTTATCGACTTCTGAGATTACAAATGAATACGCAAAGAACTTTTTTCTGAATATTCACAAGTTACTTTATTTATTTATTATTTATTATTATTTAATTTTATTATTATTATTTTTATTTAATATGAATCATTTAATGGTTAAACACATGTATTGTATCAATACAGTAAAGTCATTCATTATACTCAATATAAGCATTTCCAAATAAAGAGCTATTATTGGCTTTCTAAAATATATAAATATTTTTGATCATTTTTTATATATTTTATTGCGATTAGCATTCCTAATATATAAAAAAAAAATATTGAGTTTATAAAGAAAAATATTAAATGTTTAAGAAATACATTTACATATATGTAAAGAATCGCTTTATTCATGATTTTACCATTTATTTTCCTTTTATTTCGGTATTCGGCCGAATAGTATAAATGATGACAATAATTCTAAATGACAAAGAGTAACCGTATAGTAGTTGCAAATTTAGGCAAAAACTTAAATAAACATGTAGCATTTTAGTAATATAACAACTACTGAATAGTAATTACATTCATACAGGCGCCAAAAACCTGCCGAATAGTTGCCGAATATTCGGTATTCGGTCTCTGGAGCATGCCGAATATTCGGTATTCGGCATTTTGCCGAATATACTATTCGTTGCAAGCCTGCTCAATACTAAACAGCTGTTTACTCTAGAGTACAAAATTAATTTTAAATTGATTGAGATATGATCGGGTTCAAGGCACTTTTTTATAATCAAAAGTTAAATTGAAAACCAACATCAATTCAGCTAGCGATTTCTTAAAAAGTACTGAATCATACAAGTGATGTTTGGAGGGGGGAGGTAATTTTTAAAATCACCACGTATAACCGAGAGGGAGGGGGGGTGTAAAAATCTTTAAAAAGCCTATCACGCCCCCTTGTGAGAAGTGTTCAAATAAAAAGCATTAATCAAAGTTTATAAAAATGAAATGTGCGCTAAACATATACGCGTATATATTTACATGTTTATTTTAAATAATTTATAGGTACATGCCATGCGGACGATGTACAATATTTGTTTAAACCAAAGCATGCTAAATGTTATGAAAGTGGTACAGTCGAACGGAATACTTCTGAATTTCTTGCTTCTGCTTGGACAACTTTTGCATTATTGGGTCGACCATATGACTCAGAATTGCAAACTGCACATTGGCCTCTGTACAGTGAAAACGAAGCATATGTAGATATTACAAATAATTCAGTGGACATAAAATATATGTTACAAAAAGATGATATTAATTTTGGGATGATTTATATTCACGATCGAATAAAATTACGTCACGTTAAGAAGAGCCTTAGTTATTATTGATTCAATATATTATCTTTTTACATCAATAGTTGTTTCAAATAAAAATTATCTAAATTTTAATTATCAAATCTGCCTTTTCAGCAATCAAAATCGAACTAGTTATTATGACAGACTTTGATTTAACCATTAAAATTCAGTTGAAATGCAGTTTATAATAGTAAATTAACAAGAAACAACTTTTGCAAATGTCAATTTTCCGAACATTGGACCATTATATGAATCGGATCCACATATAAAAAAATTTAGTTGCTTCATAAAAGTGTAACGTGTGATGCAAAACTAGTGAAACAAGTATATAATGGCGACCACTGTAACTGAGAAAGCCAAGGATTTCCATGAACAGGATTTTTACAGATGAAAGTAAAAAGGTATAGATAATTTTAACAAAAACAAAATTTCTGATTTATTTTTCAGTATATATAAATATAATAATATTTATAATATAAATAAAGCATGCAAAATTAATGATTTGCACACATGCCTTCAGTTATTAAATAACATATATTAACAATTTAATCACTATGATTAGCTTAAAATATTTATAGTAAATATACAACAATGTAAGCAATTAAAATCAATCATCAATGCCATTTGAAGAAATTGGCTCTGATAAATACTTATCTCGTTCTGATCTCATAATTCCATTTTCATAACTCAAAATTTCATTTTCATCTTGTAATCTTTTTATTTCCTTTTTCAATTGCATTGTATCTGTAGTTATCGATCCACTATCAAGTTTATTCATAAGTTCTATATGTTGCGTGCAAAGTAACATGTGCAAACGTAACATGCTAGATTTGTGCATTTCTATCATTTGCATCATATGTTTTTTCATATCTTCAACCTCATTTTTTAAAACCAAATAATCAGCATTGTTTACTTCACAATTTAAATATTCTTTAGCTTCTTCTTTTTTCAGTTCTTCTGGAATTGGTGTAGATTTAAATATTTCATTTCTAGAAGCTGTTTCATAATTTATTGAAGGTAGTGGTGATAGATATTCATTAGAGTTAATATTGGACGATTTAAGGTTTCGGCATTCCTTTGGTGTCAAATTTTTTAACAACAAATCTGGTTCACTTACTTTGGGACTAGTTAGGTCATTCATAAAAGTATCAATTTCACATTTGGCTGGAGTTTGTAAAATGTTCGGAGATACATAAGTATTTTCTTTCATATCATCCAAAAGATTGAGAAAACTATCATCTTGTTGTTCATCAGATGTACTGACTTTTTCAATGCTTATATTGTCCGATGACAAATTTTGTTCTATGCTAGTTTCATGGCCTTTTTCTTTATTATTATCTCTTACAGCATGTTGAAATGCTACTGATGATACGACTCCAGTATGCTCTGATAAATTCAGTAAAGGTTCTTTATTATTCCGTAAATCATAAATCAATATTCCTCCTTTCCTATGACCACACATCATCATTATTCCATCACTTGACATGTCAACCGATGTTAAAGCATATGGTGACTCACGATTGCAAACAGATTGCTTGGTCCGTAAATCACACATACAAATTAAATGATCATAGCCAACAGAAACAAAAAAATTGGTATTAATGGGTGATAAAGCAATGCCAGATGCAATAGATGAATGATTTTTGGCAATAAATAAATGATTTTTACGCTTTACTACGTCCCAGATGGCTACAAAACCATGATCATTTGTTGCACCAAACATTCCATGTTCTCTACTACTATATTTTAGTGATGTTATAGGCCTAAAAATAAAAACAAATATTCAATATCAAATTAAATACGAGAAGAAATTAAAAATGATATATATTTGTGCTTGATATGATAGGATATGAAATAGCATATTATAAACGTATTAAATGTATATATACCAGCTTGTTGAGTTTATGGTTAGAGACTGCATCCTCTTGTTGGTTGTTAACCCATATAAATTAATATGACCATCTTCACAACCAACACTCATATAATTGTCATTGAATGAAATATCAATACAATTGACATTGGCGTGAGTTGAAACCATTGTTTTGCTGACCTCTTGCTTTTTTGTATCCCATATTTGCACATCGCCATTACCGAAGCCCATGCCTATAAATCTGTGAGTATTTTTGAAAAACACGGCAGATTTTACTCCATGAATTTTGATACTTTGTAAAACCTTGGCTTCTGAGAAATATGGTCTCACAATTTCACAACATCCTGTGGAAGGAACCACTAGCAAATATTTGGAGTCATAACTCCAATCAATAGAATGAACGGGTTCTGTGAAACTTCCATATTCACATAGAGGTTTATAATTGCTGGTATCATAAAATACTATATTATGGCCACCCGATGCCATTGTATCTCTGCTATCCTAGAGATTAATAGTATTATTAAAATAATGATAACATCTAAAGCAAATAACACTTTTTACCATGTTTAATTATAATTATTAACTATATCATAACAAGAGAAATTTACTTACAGTGAACACTTGTGCTCTTGCTCTTATATTGTTAGTGTGTGTATGAAGTTTTTGAATAATTTATATGGAAACAATAAAACTTGAATCAGCTGTGTTACATGTTACAATGATTCGATTACTCATATCTCTTAAAAATGCGCTCGTATTTCATTTATTGCAACAATAACAATTTGTATGTTTCATTCAATTTAAATGTCAAAAAACGCATTCTTTGATTGGACAAGTAGAAGACAAACCGTTATTTTCAAGGTTCGCATAGTAAGACAAAACAATGAAGAAAGGATACCGAAGAAGTTTCATTAATTTTTATTCGAGCACTAGCGCCACTACCTTACTAGGCCATTTTGAAAAAAAATCTATGGAAGTATCCATATATATACTCTTCTTTTATCTATGGAGGTATTTTTTATTTAACTTTTGTACAACGGAAGAACTGTCAAACCGGTGTCAAATGAACAAAATGCAGTATTTTGAATGTCTTCTGTGTATATAATATAATTTTAGAATATTTGGGCTAGAAAATATATAATAAGTTCGTATCTATGATAATATTGACTGGAACACTAATATAGAAATTTAGGTACAAATTGTAAGCTTACTATTAGTGTGCCATATAAATTCATTGCTCAAGAATGGCTGATGAAGAAGATCCAAAAGAATATCGGTGGGAGTCTGGATATGAAAAGACTTGGTAAGCATTTTATTGCTACTGCATATTCAATACAGATAAAGACTGGAGTTACATTTATATTTTTTTAAGGGAGGCAATTAAAGAAGATGATGATGGTTTGGTGGAAGGATCTATTGCAGACATCATACAGAAAGCAAAAAGGCAGCGACAGGCAGCACGAGTTGGCCATTCAAGATTGGGAATGATGAGACATTTATATATTATAATTGATTGTTCAGATTCAATGAATATACAGGATCTTAAACCAACAAGACTACTTTGCACATTAAAAGTATAGCTATTTTGATAGGTTTTGACTTACCAGGGAATCTTCAGGTTTACTTTTCTGGGTTTTATTATATTTAAGGCCTATTATATTTCAAGGGGATTGTTTTAACTACCAACTATACCATCATGTAAAGTTTCATCAAAATCCCAGAGGAGTAAATGAGAGTGTTCCCAGAAGAATATTTTAACATTTAATTTATATATCTTCTAAATTAGTAGAATTAATGGTTGCAAAATCACTAATTTTGAATTTTAACTTCTGTTCTTTGTTTTCTTACCATGAAACATTTGTCCATTAGTAAAAATAATTAATTTTTGTATATGATATGCAATGTTTCCTACATTTATATTTTTATGTTTTAGCTTCTTGAAATATTTATTGAAGAGTTTTTTGATCAGAACCCTATCAGCCACTTAGGCTTAATAGCAATGAAAAATAAACGAGCAGAAAAAATAAGCGAATTAGCTGGAAATTCTAAAGTACATCTTAAAGCCATGCAAAGGTTAATTTATAACAAATGCTACTGCAAAGTATATTAGTGTTTTCAATATTGTTTTTTATTTTAAGTTTAGGAAAAGTAAACATTTCTGGAGAGCCTTCTTTACAAAATGGTTTAGAATTAGCAATGAAGTCTTTAAAAATGTTACCTACCCATGCAAGTAGAGAAATATTGATAATTATGGGAAGTTTAACCACTTGTGATCCGAATGATATCTCAAAAACAATAGAAGTAAGATATTTTAGTACTATTATTATATAGAGGAAATAGAAAACGAAGTATTAACATTGAAAATATAACAGGAACTTAAGAAAGAAGGCATTCGTTGCTCGGTAATAAGTTTAGCTGCTGAAGTACATGCATGTCGTTTTCTCACACAGCAAACAAATGGGGTTTATGGTGCCATCCTGGATGATTCTCATTTCAAGTTTGTATAAATTTTTTTTGTTTATGTTTGTACGTGTTAATATTTTTTTGTGGCTTTACGATGGTAATATTTTGAATAAAAAAATATTTAATAAAACATTCTGCATACACTTACTTAAATTTTTCGTTTTTATAAATGCCATAAATTTATTTATGCAGTTCAAACTTTATCTTATTTATTCATTCAATACTCTAAATAATTTGTGAAAGTAGCTACTTTGGTGCTACTTTTGGTGTCTGGTTGCTATTTGAATCATAACTTTAATATTATAAATATAATTAAATATATATTTCAATATTATAAAAATAAATATATGTACATTTCTAAATATAACACATTTAGATTATTGTTAATGGAGACATTAGCAATATCTTGTTTCTTCTAATATTTCGGTTTTCAATATTACAGAGATCAATTGTTAGCACATGTACTCCCCCCTCCAGCAGCCTCTGGGTTAGAAAGCTCTTTAATCAGAATGGGTTTTCCACATGGAATTCAGGGGGATCAAGATTCGAAGGATCCACCTTTAACAATGTGCTTGTGGTAAGATATTTGTTGAGTTCTGAGAATATTAAAAAAAAGCTTTAAAGAGTTATATATACCATACTCATAATGAAAATTAAGATGTAGATTTTTTACAGTCACATAGACAGTCCAGATGATACCAGGTGTAAATTATCTGTTGGAGGTTATTTTTGCCCTCAGTGTGCTAGTAAGTATTGTGAGTTACCAGTCGAATGCTTGGCTTGTGGCTTAACACTGGTTGCTGCTCCACATTTAGCAAGGAGTTATCATCATTTATTTCCAGTAGCATCATTTAATGAAGTTAAATTTGAGGGACAATCAACAAATTGTTTTGGTTGTCAAAAATGCTTTATTGAAGCAGATAAAAATGTAAGTATAAGAAAAACATAGTTTTTAGCATTTAGAATAGTCACATATGATTGAAATTACATTTATTTTATATTTTGTAGGTATATCAATGTGGCCGATGCTGCAAAAACTTTTGTGTAGATTGCGATATCTTTATCCATGAAACTTTACATACTTGTGTAGGATGTGCAACTAACCCCGCCAAAGTCTCAAATCAACCTATTGCTTCATTAGCAGATACAGCTGCTGTCCGAAGTGTTCTTCCTCAATTATAATTTATAGTTTAAATGTATTACTACACATATGTTAACATAGAAAAATACAAACAAGTATTTATTTTTATATTGGATTTTGTGATTCCTACTATATGCGATAGGTTTTAACATTTTGATTTGTTACATGACTTTATGTAAAAAGCAATTGATATTTAAGTCAATAATATACATAAATAATATAGCTTCATTACATTTACTTTTCTTTGGTATATAAAAGCGCTGAACGCACAACTCTGTATCTTAAGAATTTTGAATATAACGCATATATCATATAGCATTATTTCATTTTACATTATAACAAAAATTATGTTTGTAATTCTATCAATTTTCTCAGCTTCTCTCTGATAAATTATTTGTGCATGCTGCTATAAGGACAGCACGATCTCATGACGGGCCTGTGTATCTGTATAGATTTGCTGTTGACGCCAAAAATAATGTTTTTAAGGCTGTTATGTGCGGAAATGTTCCAGGTTAGTATTGAAAGTAACTTTTTATTTTTTCTGTTTTCTGAACTCCAATATTAAATTTGTTATAAAATTTATAGTTTCAAATCGTAATTTTAAAACCATATTTTAAACTAGTACAAAAAAAACAGTTAATTATGCACAGGCTTGACCAATGCATTCTTATTTCAATATTATTCGAAAGGTTTTTGAATTTTTGAAATCAGTTCAGGATTTTTTACGAAAATACTGACGAAAAAATGTTCGTTAATCTGATTATAACTCTATACGAGGCTTGCACCAAATATTCGGCCGAATACAGAATATAAACTAACTATTCGGCCGAATACTGAATAGTTAAAATCAAAGGCGACGCCGCCGCTCATTGTTGGTGTTTTATCTTTTAAGCGATAAAGAGTTCGCGATGGATCTGTCTTTGGAAGTGTTTAGTTTACATAATATGATATGAAGAATTGATTTTGTTATTGTATATATAATAATTTAAACTTTATCGACTTCTGAGATTACAAATGAATACGCAAAGAACTTTTTTCTGAATATTCACAAGTTACTTTATTTATTTATTATTTATTATTATTTAATTATTATTATTATTATTTTTATTTAATATGAATCATTTAATGGTTAAACACATGTATTGTATCAATACAGTAAAGTCATTCATTATACTCAATATAAGCATTTCCAAATAAAGAGCTATTATTGGCTTTCTAAAATATATAAATATTTTTGATCATTTTTTATATATTTTATTGCGATTAGCATTCCTAATATATAAAAAAAAAATATTGAGTTTATAAAGAAAAATATTAAATGTTTAAGAAATACATTTACATATATGTAAAGAATCGCTTTATTCATGATTTTACCATTTATTTTCCTTTTATTTCGGTATTCGGCCGAATAGTATAAATGATGACAATAATTCTAAATGACAAAGAGTAACCGTATAGTAGTTGCAAATTTAGGCAAAAACTTAAATAAACATGTAGCATTTTAGTAATATAACAACTACTGAATAGTAATTACATTCATACAGGCGCCAAAAACCTGCCGAATAGTTGCCGAATATTCGGTATTCGGTCTCTGGAGCATGCCGAATATTCGGTATTCGGCATTTTGCCGAATATACTATTCGTTGCAAGCCTGCTCAATACTAAACAGCTGTTTACTCTAGAGTACAAAATTAATTTTAAATTGATTGAGATATGATCGGGTTCAAGGCACTTTTTTATAATCAAAAGTTAAATTGAAAACCAACATCAATTCAGCTAGCGATTTCTTAAAAAGTACTGAATCATACAAGTGATGTTTGGAGGGGGGAGGTAATTTTTAAAATCACCACGTATAACCGAGAGGGAGGGGGGGTGTAAAAATCTTTAAAAAGCCTATCACGCCCCCTTGTGAGAAGTGTTCAAATAAAAAGCATTAATCAAAGTTTATAAAAATGAAATGTGCGCTAAACATATACGCGTATATATTTACATGTTTATTTTAAATAATTTATAGGTACATGCCATGCGGACGATGTACAATATTTGTTTAAACCAAAGCATGCTAAATGTTATGAAAGTGGTACAGTCGAACGGAATACTTCTGAATTTCTTGCTTCTGCTTGGACAACTTTTGCATTATTGGGTCGACCATATGACTCAGAATTGCAAACTGCACATTGGCCTCTGTACAGTGAAAACGAAGCTTATGTAGATATTACAAATAATTCAGTGGACATAAAATATATGTTACAAAAAGATGATATTAATTTTTGGGATGATTTATATTCACGATCGAATAAAATTACGTCACGTTAAGAAGAGCCTTAGTTATTATTGATTCAATATATTATCTTTTTACATCAATAGTTGTTTCAAATAAAAATTATCTAAATTTTAATTATCAAATCTGCCTTTTCAGCAATCAAAATCGAACTAGTTATTATGACAGACTTTGATTTAACCATTAAAATTCAGTTGAAATGCAGTTTATAATAGTAAATTAACAAGAAACAACTTTTGCAAATGTCAATTTTCCGAACATTGGACCATTATATGAATCGGATCCACATAAAAAAAATTTAGTTGCTTCATAAAAGTGTAACGTGTGATGCAAAACTAGTGAAACAAGTATATAATGGCGACCACTGTAACTGAGAAAGCCAAGGATTTCCATGAACCAGGATTTTTACAGATGAAAGTAAAAAGGTATAGATAATTTTAACAAAAACAAAATTTCTGATTTATTTTTCAGTATATATAAATATAATAATATTTATAATATAAATAAAGCATGCAAAATTGAATGATTTGCACACATGCCTTCAGTTATTAAATAACATATATTAACAATTTAATCACTATGATTAGCTTAAAATATTTATAGTAAATATACAACAATGTAAGCAATTAAAATCAATCATCAATGCCATTTGAAGAAATTGGCTCTGATAAATACTTATCTCGTTCTGATCTCATAATTCCATTTTCATAACTCAAAATTTCATTTTCATCTTGTAATCTTTTCATTTCCTTTTTCAATTGCATTGTATCTGTAGTTATCGATCCACTATCAAGTTTATTCATAAGTTCTATATGTTGCGTGCAAAGTAACATGTGCAAACGTAACATGCTAGATTTGTGCATTTCTATCATTTGCATCATATGTTTTTTCATATCTTCAACCTCATTTTTTAAAACCAAATAATCAGCATTGTTTACTTCACAATTTAAATATTCTTTAGCTTCTTCTTTTTTCAGTTCTTCTGGAATTGGTGTAGATTTAAATATTTCATTTCTAGAAGCTGTTTCATAATTTATTGAAGGTAGTGGTGATAGATATTCATTAGAGTTAATATTGGACGATTTAAGGTTTCGGCATTCCTTTGGTGTCAAATTTTTTAACAACAAATCTGGTTCACTTACTTTGGGACTAGTTAGGTCATTCATAAAAGTATCAATTTCACATTTGGCTGGAGTTTGTAAAATGTTCGGAGATACATAAGTATTTTCTTTCATATCATCCAAAAGATTGAGAAAACTATCATCTTGTTGTTCATCAGATGTACTGACTTTTTCAATGCTTATATTGTCCGATGACAAATTTTGTTCTATGCTAGTTTCATGGCCTTTTTCTTTATTATTATCTCTTACAGCATGTTGAAATGCTACTGATGATACGACTCCAGTATGCTCTGATAAATTCAGTAAAGGTTCTTTATTATTCCGTAAATCATAAATCAATATTCCTCCTTTCCTATGACCACACATCATCATTATTCCATCACTTGACATGTCAACCGATGTTAAAGCATATGGTGACTCACGATTGCAAACAGATTGCTTGGTCCGTAAATCACACATACAAATTAAATGATCATAGCCAACAGAAACAAAAAAATTGGTATTAATGGGTGATAAAGCAATGCCAGATGCAATAGATGAATGATTTTTGGCAATAAATAAATGATTTTTACGCTTTACTACGTCCCAGATGGCTACAAAACCATGATCATTTGTTGCACCAAACATTCCATGTTCTCTACTACTATATTTTAGTGATGTTATAGGCCTAAAAATAAAAACAAATATTCAATATCAAATTAAATACGAGAAGAAATTAAAAATGATATATATTTGTGCTTGATATGATAGGATATGAAATAGCATATTATAAACGTATTAAATGTATATATACCAGCTTGTTGAGTTTATGGTTAGAGACTGCATCCTCTTGTTGGTTGTTAACCCATATAAATTAATATGACCATCTTCACAACCAACACTCATATAATTGTCATTGAATGAAATATCAATACAATTGACATTGGCGTGAGTTGAAACCATTGTTTTGCTGACCTCTTGCTTTTTTGTATCCCATATTTGCACATCGCCATTACCGAAGCCCATGCCTATAAATCTGTGAGTATTTTTGAAAAACACGGCAGATTTTACTCCATGAATTTTGATACTTTGTAAAACCTTGGCTTCTGAGAAATATGGTCTCACAATTTCACAACATCCTGTGGAAGGAACCACTAGCAAATATTTGGAGTCATAACTCCAATCAATAGAATGAACGGGTTCTGTGAAACTTCCATATTCACATAGAGGTTTATAATTGCTGGTATCATAAAATACTATATTATGGCCACCCGATGCCATTGTATCTCTGCTATCCTAGAGATTAATAGTATTATTAAAATAATGATAACATCTAAAGCAAATAACACTTTTTACCATGTTTAATTATAATTATTAACTATATCATAACAAGAGAAATTTACTTACAGTGAACACTTGTGCTCTTGCTCTTATATTGTTAGTGTGTGTATGAAGTTTTTGAATAATTTATATGGAAACAATAAAACTTGAATCAGCTGTGTTACATGTTACAATGATTCGATTACTCATATCTCTTAAAAATGCGCTCGTATTTCATTTATTGCAACAATAACAATTTGTATGTTTCATTCAATTTAAATGTCAAAAAACGCATTCTTTGATTGGACAAGTAGAAGACAAACCGTTATTTTCAAGGTTCGCATAGTAAGACAAAACAATGAAGAAAGGATACCGAAGAAGTTTCATTAATTTTTATTCGAGCACTAGCGCCACTACCTTACTAGGCCATTTTGAAAAAAAATCTATGGAAGTATCCATATATATACTCTTCTTTTATCTATGGAGGTATTTTTTATTTAACTTTTGTACAACGGAAGAACTGTCAAACCGGTGTCAAATGAACAAAATGCAGTATTTTGAATGTCTTCTGTGTATATAATATAATTTTAGAATATTTGGGCTAGAAAATATATAATAAGTTCGTATCTATGATAATATTGACTGGAACACTAATATAGAAATTTAGGTACAAATTGTAAGCTTACTATTAGTGTGCCATATAAATTCATTGCTCAAGAATGGCTGATGAAGAAGATCCAAAAGAATATCGGTGGGAGTCTGGATATGAAAAGACTTGGTAAGCATTTTATTGCTACTGCATATTCAATACAGATAAAGACTGGAGTTACATTTATATTTTTTTAAGGGAGGCAATTAAAGAAGATGATGATGGTTTGGTGGAAGGATCTATTGCAGACATCATACAGAAAGCAAAAAGGCAGCGACAGGCAGCACGAGTTGGCCATTCAAGATTGGGAATGATGAGACATTTATATATTATAATTGATTGTTCAGATTCAATGAATATACAGGATCTTAAACCAACAAGACTACTTTGCACATTAAAAGTATAGCTATTTTGATAGGTTTTGACTTACCAGGGAATCTTCAGGTTTACTTTTCTGGGTTTTATTATATTTAAGGCCTATTATATTTCAAGGGGATTGTTTAACTACCAACTATACCATCATGTAAAGTTTCATCAAAATCCCAGAGGAGTAAATGAGAGTGTTCCCAGAAGAATATTTTAACATTTAATTTATATATCTTCTAAATTAGTAGAATTAATGGTTGCAAAATCACTAATTTTGAATTTTAACTTCTGTTCTTTGTTTTCTTACCATGAAACATTTGTCCATTAGTAAAAATAATTAATTTTTGTATATGATATGCAATGTTTCCTACATTTATATTTTTATGTTTTAGCTTCTTGAAATATTTATTGAAGAGTTTTTTGATCAGAACCCTATCAGCCACTTAGGCTTAATAGCAATGAAAAATAAACGAGCAGAAAAAATAAGCGAATTAGCTGGAAATTCTAAAGTACATCTTAAAGCCATGCAAAGGTTAATTTATAACAAATGCTACTGCAAAGTATATTAGTGTTTTCAATATTTTTTTTATTTTAAGTTTAGGAAAAGTAAACATTTCTGGAGAGCCTTCTTTACAAAATGGTTTAGAATTAGCAATGAAGTCTTTAAAAATGTTACCTACCCATGCAAGTAGAGAAATATTGATAATTATGGGAAGTTTAACCACTTGTGATCCGAATGATATCTCAAAAACAATAGAAGTAAGATATTTTAGTACTATTATTATATAGAGGAAATAGAAAACGAAGTATTAACATTGAAAATATAACAGGAACTTAAGAAAGAAGGCATTCGTTGCTCGGTAATAAGTTTAGCTGCTGAAGTACATGCATGTCGTTTTCTCACACAGCAAACAAATGGGGTTTATGGTGCCATCCTGGATGATTCTCATTTCAAGTTTGTATAAATTTTTTTTTGTTTATGTTTGTACGTGTTAATATTTTTTTGTGGCTTTACGATGGTAATATTTTGAATATAAAAAATATTTAATAAAACATTCTGCATACACTTACTTAAATTTTTCGTTTTTATAAATGCCATAAATTTATTTATGCAGTTCAAACTTATCTTATTTATTCATTCAATACTCTAAATAATTTGTGAAAGTAGCTACTTTGGTGCTACTTTTGGTGTCTGGTTGCTATTTGAATCATAACTTTAATATTAAATATATATTAAATATATATTTCAATATTAGAAAAATAAATATATGTACATTTCTAAAATAACACATTTAGATTATTGTTAATGGAGACATTAGCAATATCTTGTTTCTTCTAACTTTCGGTTTTCAATATTACAGAGATCATTGTTAGCACATGTACTCCCCCTCCAGCAGCCTCTGGGTTAGAAAGCTCTTAATCAGAATGGGTTTTCCACATGGAATTCAGGGGGATCAAGATTCGAAGGATCCACCTTTAACAATGTGCTTGTGGTAAGATATTTGTTGAGTTCTGAGAATATTAAAAAAAAGCTTTAAAGAGTTATATATACCATACTCATAATGAAAATTAAGATGTAGATTTTTTACAGTCACATAGACAGTCCAGATGATACCAGGTGTAAATTATCTGTTGGAGGTTATTTTTGCCCTCAGTGTGCTAGTAAGTATTGTGAGTTACCAGTCGAATGCTTGGCTTGTGGCTTAACACTGGTTGCTGCTCCACATTTAGCAAGGAGTTATCATCATTATTCCAGTAGCATCATTAATGAAGTTAAATTTGAGGGACAATCAACAAATTGTTTTGGTTGTCAAAAATGCTTTATTGAAGCAGATAAAAATGTAAGTATAAGAAAAAACATAGTTTTTAGCATTTAGAATAGTCACATATGATTGAAATTACATTTATTTTATATTTTGTAGGTATATCAATGTGCCGATGCTGCAAAACTTTTGTGTAGATTGCGATATCTTTATCCATGAAACTTTACATACTTGTGTAGGATGTGCAACTAACCCCGCCAAAGTCTCAATCAACCTATTGCTTCATTAGCAGACAGCTGCTGTCCGAAGTGTTCTTCTCTTATAATTTTTATAGTTTAAATGTATTACTACACATATGTTAACATAGAAAAATACAAACAAGTATTTATTTTTATATTGGATTTTGTGATTCCTACTATATGCGATAGGTTTTAACATTTTGATTTGTTACATGACTTTATGTAAAAAGCAATTGATATTTAAGTCAATAATATACATAAATAATATAGCTTCATTACATTTGCAAACTAATGAATAATTTGATTATGCAGAAAGCTGTATATTATGAAAGCAGACATTAACATAGTTCTATATTGTTTAAACGAAAAGTTTTTCTGGAATGTTGTAATATATATTCAAAATTAATAAAAAATATCACAGATGTTATACTAATGATAGGTGTAAGAAAATTGTGAGGTTTTAATAATTGCTCATTATTCAAAGTAAAGGACTATGTTTTCAAATAGCATTTTGAAAAATGATATCAGAATTTAATACAATGAAAGATTTCTAGTAATATACTACAAATGCATCTTGGTACGTATCCAATTTTACATTCTATAATGACTTAAAAATATCTTATGTACATGAAGTAATTAAAGAAGGACAGAAACATAGTCTCATATATGAAAGATTGAGGATCATCTGAATGAAATACTAAGATCAGTTATCCAGGTATGAGAAGAACTGAACACACGTTGTGTTGGCCTATGAGCTTTAATCAGAAAATTGCTCGCTGGAGTGATTTAAATACATTCTTTTCTTTATTAAATATTATTAGTTATATTTAACCTTATAATAACAGCTTATAAAATTGTATCATTTTTATTGCTATTTATAATATCAATCACAAAGAAATCATAGCAATAAAAACACAAAGCTAAGACTGCTAGTAGAACTTATATAAGTTTTAGTCATGTCTAAGAAAGTTGTACATAAAATGATCTGAAAAA